ACCAGCCTTGCCACAGCAGCTGCACCATTAGCAATTGGCTGCCAAGATGTTATCAATAAGGTGTCAATACTTCCCCCCTCTTTAAACTCCCAGTGTGCCTTAAAACATCCTTTCCCCCTTTCCCAGCACCCCTCAAAGGCAGCATTGCTAAACACATCCCCTTGGAGCATTTTCTCTTCCATCATGCCTGGTTGAGAGGTCAGCCCCATGCAAGCTGCAGGCAGTCAACAGCCTCAGCTATAAAATCCCCACACACCTCAATCTCAGCTCCCTAGTTCCTACCTCATCCACAGGATGGGTTTGCCCCTTCTAACCAAGGCACAGGTACCCTGTTCATAAAGTGGAGCCACAGGACCACACCACACCATTGGCTTACATTAATTTCATCCCTGGGCATCAGAAACCCCCAAGGTAGCCTCTCTCCTTTCCTTGAGCCCCACTTGCAACCCACCCATGGTGAGAGAAGGGGGAAAAGGCTCCACAGCAGCAAAAGCCTGTGGCCATTTGGGCAGCAGCCATTTCTCCTTACCTCTGCACTTCCAGGGAAGCAGGATGAAGGCCACTTTTCATGATGGAGGGGTTTAGCAGCAGTTAAAGTGCTACCCAGCTTAGCACCCTCCACAGAAAGTCCTTGCAGTGAAAACACAAGCCCACCAGCCCTGAAGGGCTATTGATAGCTTCAAAGTCCTAACCAGCCTCACTTGAGACCTCCACACCCACTACCCTGCACCCCTGGGCTCTGTTTAAGCTTTTAACTAACCAAACACTGCTACGACTTGATTTTGCAGCTGTTTCAAACACTTTTTTCCTTTCTTGTTTGATTTCCTTCCCTACCCCCTATGCAAATTCCTCCTACATTTGCGTGCTTGTTGAAGGGACCGCTATGGGATTTGGTGTCTCTCACTAGGTCTAGCTGCTTATCTGTAAATTATCATGCAAGGCTGATCCCATAAGCAAATAAACCCAGCAAGGTCGTTAGGTTATTATAATTTTGGAGCATTTTTGCAGTGATTTAACTGTGAGTTCCCAGCCTGGGTGGATCCAGATCTCAAGAGCTGTAACACTCCAGGCTCCCTCGAGAGCTGTAACCATTTATTATTCTTGGATCCCAAGTTATTATTATTGTTTTAAGTTGTTCGACCAAGCTAAGCAAGATATTTAATCGTGAAAAATGCTGTTACAGGAATTACAGGCTACTGCAGTTAAACTGAAAGAAAATAATGCTCCAGACGGGCAAAATCTGACAGCTGAGGCCTGGGCAGTTGCCTTGGCACACAACTCCTGCCCTGCAGATAGCCGGTCCCCATCTCCCTTGGTCATCCACAAACTGCATGTCATCTTCATGAGTCCAGCAAGGATGCTGCAGACCTTCCCGTGGCTCGAGGCTGCAGCAGTTGAACTGAGTCAGTTGATCTCCAGGCTTATTAAACTGTTTCTCAGAATTGTTTTCAGGCTTCCCATGTACTTTACCATGCATTACATATTTTTTTTCCCGCTACCTTTCCGAGCTTGTAACAGAAATCTCATTTTCTTCATCTCCCATCATGCCTTCTATCCCCTTCTCCAACCATTCCTCCAGTATTTTATTCCTTTATTAACATAATCACTGTCCACAAAGAGATGCAATGGGTTCTACTTAGAGAGTTTATCTCTTAATAGTGTCTATAATAGCCTGTACTCAATTTGGAGGGGTTTTTAAAAATAGCTTCCCCACTCCTTGCTCTCCTGCTCTATTAACAGCAGCACAGAGGACTGTTTTTAGATTGCTCCTATCTGGTGCTCTCATTGATGAAGCATAGCTTTGCTTTATTGCTGGGTTCTTTAAAAGGGACGCTCGCATCCGCACCCGATAATTGCAATTGGATTTGTTCTCAACAGTGCAGCCTGCACCCTGATCAGTCAGGGCAGGAGCAAGATGATCTGGTCCTTGTGAGGTCTGTACAGCATCTTTCCAACTCATTAACGTCAATGCCTGGTGGTGTTCGTATTGATGAACACTCTGCTGCTGAGTCTCCCTAGAACCCGGGAGGGGCAGGAGTAGATTGGATTGTGAGGGTGAAAGCCTCAAAGACCAGCCCAGCCCGGGCTGCTGGGGTGTTTTGGGTCCAGACCCTGAAGCAGACACAGTTCCTGTGCTGCTGGGACCTTCTGTAACTATTTTTCTGCTCCCCTAGAACCAGTGGATGGGGAAATTCCTTGTTGAAAGGTGCTTTCCCAGTGCTGGCCGTTTTAGTGCAGGGGAGTTCAGAGCAGCTTCTTTCCCCCTGAGTTAGGGCATCTCCATATCCTGAGCTCCACTTCCACTTCGGAGTCTTTAACCAGTGATTTCCACAGTGGTCTGCTGGGACCAGCGAAGTTCTGGATGTGCTGCTGTCAGAAAGTAAATCCTCCTAACGGTGTTCTCAGTTGGGCTTAACAAGAAACTTTTATTTCATCCAAAACTTTAACCACTCTTGTACCTATTGGTTTCCTGGCTTGCCAGCTGGGACTACCAGTTGTTAACCTCAGCTCGAGCTCATGGTGCCTACTTCAAATCCTGTTTCACCTATTGATGTTAAAACTTGGATACCTCTCACCTCTTCGGTCGCTGGATGATCATCTACATAAGATGGTTGTTCTTTATGCTCTGAAGACAGTACTTTGAACGCATTTCTGACGTGAGCCTGTGCCCCCAGGTGCGTTGTGAAGTGCCAGCCTGCAAGGGTTTGTTCCCTCTCTCCAAGTGCAAAAGCAAATCTGAAAAATTGATTCTTTAGTAAGCAGGATGGCAAAGAAATGGTTGGATCTAGAACTGAAACCACTTGTTGTTTGCTGGTAACTTAGCAATAATCACTGGCATGTTCACTAAAGCAGGAGCTGTTCTCATGGGAAATGCATTTCGTTGGCATTTGCCAGGGTTTTTCATCTGCCTTTCTAATGGGTGGCAGTGGAAAATTATATGGGTTTGTAATTTCTCAAGAAATGCTTTGTTTAACATAATCCTTAATGGTTTCAGTCAGAGCGTCTCAGCTTCTTTAGGATACGAGTCCCACTAGTTCAGCGTGGGCAATGGGTTTTACACAGTGGGGTTTTCTGCCATCCTCCTGGAGCCCTTAACATCTTTCATCCATTTTTTTCCCAATGTACTACCCCTGCCATCACCGTTTCCCAAACATCCCCTGTTCCTCTGCCTCCTCTGCTCCTGTATCCATCTCCTTGGTACTGCAAGCCACAGATCTGGCTTGGCCCAGGTGAAATTGTCCCCTTTTCTCCTGAATCCAGGCCAGAATTACCAGCACCTCACCATTTGATCTCTACCAACTGAGCCCAGAAGATTTCCCTGTGTTTGGGCAGAGTTCCTGTGACTCATCACCAGAGCTGCTTGTGCCCCACCAGCAAAGGGCTGGTGGGATACCATATCACATCCTGGGGTACAATATTGCATCCCATTGGTACCTTAGCAATTCTGCATTGGTTCAGAAAAATCCTCTCCATCTTCTCCCAGTTTCTGAGTCCATCTATGTGCTGCTGATTTCTTTTTATCTGGTGCTCAGCAAGAAGGGCATGCACTGATCCCTTAGCATATGTCGGAGCAAAGCTGGTGCAGCACAAGCTCTAAGCATTGAGCTACTTCATCTCTGTTTGATCCAAGGCTTGAAGACATTTCTAGAAGTGCCACACTCCAATCCACAGCTCCACTTCATTTCTGCAGTCTCGCAGGCCCCAGGATAGCTGTTACACTGGGACATCAACTGTTGTTTCCAGCTTCTTTTTCCTTTCCTTTTCATAGATATCACCTTGATAATCCTCTTCCTCTGACAGCTCCCAGTCTCATTCTCCATTCCCTGCAGCTATTTTTAATTTTTCTATGCTACTCTGCTTTGACAAGCATCTAAATTTACCATCACATTGCCTGTGACAGGGTCCCCTTGGAGGTCCCCCTTGCTCCGTGGTGAAAGCTGCAGCAGGCAGTAATCCCTGCAGAAAACTGCGGCTTCCCTCTGATTTCCTGAATTTACAGGAAACTAATTCCAGTCGGACCTGCTCCCAGAGAGCTGCAGGATGGCACTGGTCTCCTGAAGACACTGGAGATGGGAAATGGGGAGGAGAAGAATGATACCAGAAATAAAGAGCCCCAGAGAGGGAGGAGGAGAAGGCTCTGTGACTTTTCTTCCTAAGACAAGGCTTGGGGATCCCCAGCAAAGCACAGTTACTCAGAAAGAGTTAGAAATTCAGGGGCTCAGTGGTTTTCCAGTCAAACCCAGTTAGGAGGAGGGTGAGCTGCCAGCACCAGGGAGGCAAGAGACAGAAGAGGAGGCTGTGGCATCTGTGAGCATCAGTGTGCTTTCCTAAAGTCGCCTTTTCACCCCCAAAATAGCATCTTCCTTGTGAGCTTATTGCCAGGAGTTCTTTGGGTGTTACGTTGCCCATCCCGGTGGTTTTAGGGAGGCCTAAAGGCTGATGAGCAGCCCCGCAGTGGGGAAGGAGGAAGGGTGTGCCGGATGTCGGGCTTGCCGTTCAAAAGCGAAACCCTGTCTGCACGCGAGATGGGGATTTCGGGCAGCGCCTGAGCCCTTCCAGCAGGGCCTCCACCGTCCCGCAGCTCAGCCGGTGCGGTGAGTGCATTGCTGCTCAGCCGGCCACACTGCGCTAAGGGCAGGGCAGGATGGGAACCTGGCCAGGTGGGGCTGTGGGGACTGGGCTGTCCCAGGGCTGGGGCGACTCTGCCCCGAAGGGTTGCAGCTCCTAGTCTGGTTAGAAGCCCCCCATGATGCTTTTTCGGGTGTTCTTCTCTGTCTCTGGTGCCCCAGCCCAGAGGGGACATCCCCATAGTGCCAGATCCTGCAGTGTCCACAGCCCTAGGGTGGCATTTCCTTGCCATGCTGGGGTGACCGTCCCCAGCCATTCTGGCACAGGAAGAATGGGGCTGTACAGGACAAACTCGGTGCCCAGCTCCAAAACCTCTTGCCATGGTGTAGCCATGATTTCTAACCCTTGGTATTTTCAGGCGACATCCTGCGATGGCAGGGGAGGAGCGTGCATTAGCCGTCTTCTTACGAGCACTGCAAGATCTCACACTTAAAGACTTTGAGGAGTTTAAGATGAAGTTATCGGAGGTTCGTGTGGAAGGAGAATGGAACATCCCCAAGGATTTGCTGGCGAAGCTCACCCACCCTTGCGCGCTTGTCAGCTGCATGGGCAAGAACTACAGCGAAGATGCCGTGATGGACATAGCGATTGGGTTGTTCGAAGAGATGAACCAGAGAGACCTTGCCGAGAAACTCCTGGATGAGAAGGTGAAAGGTAGGAATCCAGCATACATTTTGCTTTTCTTTGTCTCTTTTTCCCTTGAGTGATCCTGGAGACAGGAAGAAGTTGGTAACAGCAGGTTGCAGCTTCCCAGGAAGCCTGGAAACACAAAGATGTCCCGCTGTGTTCCTGTTAGTGTGGGGGCTGTAGTGACCTCTTGCTGTCCCCTCTTGGTGGTGTGCTCCCTCTTCTCCTGGAGAAGAGACTTCAGCTCAAATTGCATTTGCTCCCGGGGTGAATAAGGATTGCAGGGCTGTTAAAACAGAGGTTGATGGATCACGATGATGGGAGGAGCTGGGCGAGGAGAAGGACCCCCCTGCCCAACTACCAGAGGCCCTAAGTCCTCACAGGTGATGTCCTTATTGCCTCTGCCAGACCTAGGAAAGCCCTGAGTGTTGAAACAAAGTGACCTGCTGGTCTGTTTGGAGCATGGTTGGGCTGGTTAAGAGCTCCTTGGGTATCTGACTGTGCTTGGTGCTGACTCTGCTTCTCACTGGCACAGAGTACAAGCAGAAATACAAAGAGTACGTGGTCCGGCAGTTCCTCCGGTACAAAGAACTGAACTCCTGTCTCGGGGAGAACCTGTCCACCAGCAGCCGCTACACCAACCTGACCATCGCCAGGAAGCCTCAGAGCAAGCACGGAGGTGAGCACGAAGCTGTGAGCACCAGCTGTGGATGTGCCAACGCCAGCAACAGACCAGCCACTGTCACCGTCACTGCACAGACGCTGTTTAAACCCGATGAAGATGGGCAAACGCCACGGGTTGTGGTGCTGGTGGGGGCCCCAGGGATGGGGAAGACGATGACAGTCAGGAAGATGATGGTGGAGTGGGTGGAAGGGACACTCTACACGCAGTTTGAGTATGTTTTCTGCATTGGCTATGAAGACATTGCCTTTACCAAGGAAGCGAGCGTGGCAGACCTCATTTCAAAGTGCTGCCCTCATAGGCAAACGCCAGCTGCGAAGATCCTGGATGACCCAAAGAAAATCCTGTTCATTTTTGATGGCTTTGAGGCCCTGGGATTTTCCTGGGTTCAGCCCAAAGATGAACTGAGCTCTGACCCCAGGGAAGTGAAACCGCTGGAAACCACCCTGATGAGCTTGTTGAAGAAGACTGTCCTCACCGAGTCCTCCTTGCTCATCACCACGAGGCCGACAGCTCTTCAAAGCCTGGGGCGGTGCCTGGAGGGTGAATATTATGCAGAAATACTGGGATTTTCAGCAGCCATGCGGGAGCAGTATTTCCACAGGTATTTCGACGACGACAGTAAAGCCGACATGGCCTTCAGGTTTGCCAAAGGCAACGAGATCCTCTACAGCTTGTGCAGCATCCCTGTCATGAGCTGGACCGTCTGCACCATCCTTAAACAAGAGCTTCACAAGAAGAAAAACCTTGTTGAGTGCTCCAAAGCCACCACGCTGATGAGCATGTTTTACCTCTCCTGGTTAATGATGTGCAGAGGCAGGGACAACCCAAAGGACCTCCAGCCATTCCTGCGCAAACTCTGCTCCTTGGCTGCCGATGGCATCTGGAAGCACAAGGTCCAATTTGAGGAGAAGGAAATCAAGGACCGTGGCTTGGACCAGCCAGAACTTCTCCCCCTCTTCCTCAATGAGAAGATCTCAAAGAAATGTGTAAGCCATGGGAACATCTACAGCTTTACCCACCTGCACCTCCAGGAGTTTTTCGCAGCGATGTTCTACGTTCTGGAGGACGATGAGGAAGTGGATGGTGACTCAAGGGCTCTGGTGAAGGACATAAATACATTATTAGAAAGCTATAGTAAGTCCAGGAATGATTTGAACTTAACACTGCGGTTCCTGTTTGGTCTGGTAAGCCAAAAATCAATCGAGTATGCAGATGAAATCATCGGGTGCAGAATTTCACCACGAGCCAGGGAAGATCTGCTGAGGTGGCTTCAGGGGAGACACAGAGGCGTCTCCCATCCCAGACAAGCACTGAAGGTTTCAGAATTGGACACTTTCCACTTTCTGTTCGAGATGAACGACAAAAGCTTCGTGCAAAGCGCGTTGGATCGTTTCACCGACTTAGAGTTGCAGGACATCAAGTTGACCCCGTATGACCAAATGGCTCTTTCCTTCTGCATCAGGCAATGGGCTGGGCTGGGCTGCGTCACCCTCTGTGGATGCTCCTTCAACCAGCACCATCCCAGGCAGGAGGTGGTGCCTTGGTAAGTACTGCCACTCTCTGCTCTGGCAACCTCCAATTGCCAGTGGTTCTCCTTCTCCGCCCCAAAGGCTGGTTTTAAAGTCATTTCTGCTCCTTCCACCCAAAGACCAGCTTGTCCTGTTGCTGAGTTTTAATTCCTTAGCAGAGAATTTTACTTATTCTTGGGGAGAACTGTGAGAGAATAAGGATCAGGCAGGCCCCTCCGTCTGCTGCATGTGGTGGGACTGATGGAGACTGAGCATCTCAACCCAGTTTCCCCAGCCCAAACAGGCCTGTCCACGCCTGGATGCTTGTTTGGCTTCACATCCCCATTCTCACATGCAAAGGGGAGATCCTCAGTGCTGAAATTTTAAGCGCACTCTGAGCTTTACTTGAGAGCAGGCGACTCCAGCAGCAACCCTCGTGATCCTTTGCATCTCCAAAGCCATGGAGGTCCCAGCTGAGGAGACCTCCTGTGAGCTGGTGGCAAGCTCTGCTTGGTGGGGGTTGTGTGCTGGTGAGGGCTGCCCATGCCCCATGGGGTTCTGTACCGCTGCAGTTCCGATGCTTCAGAAGCTGGAGGATGTCCCGGTCCCCTTGGGCTGGAGGAGCCGCATTCTCCCATCCATCCACTCTGCAGGGCCCTGCAGCACCCAGGCAGTGACCTGCGGGTGCTCCGGTAAGAGACTGCGGTGCTGCTGCGGGCATGGGGTGGGTGTGCTGGCCAGGGCCTGGGGAGGTGCTGCCTTGAGCAGAGGGGATGGGAGCTGTAGGGGAGCATGGTCACCCCGAGGACCACCAGCACGGAGCTGGGGGTAGGGATGGGCTCCGTTAGCCTTGGGTGAGTGTGGTCCCTCCATGCTGATTGGCCATGGTGTGGGCAGGTGGGTGGAGCCCCTCCAGGCTGATTGGCTGTATGCTGGGTGGGTGTGGCCCCTGCATGCTCATTGGCCATGGTGTGGGTAGGTGGGTGGAGCCCTTCCAGGCTGATTGGCTGTATGCTGGGTGGGTGTGGCCCCTGCATGCTGATTGGCCATGGTGTGGGCAGGTGGGTGGAGCCCCTGCTGATTGGCTTTATGATGGATGGGTGTGGTCCTGCAATGAGTGGATGGGTTCAGGTCCTCTATGCTGATTGGCTGTGTGGTGGGTGAGTATGATCCCCCCCATGCTGATTGGCTGGGTGGCAGGAGTCTGGGGGCAGCCAGGGCAGGTGTGATGAGCTTATCTGTCCTCTGTGGCTTAACCCAGGCTGCGGTGGTGCGGGCTGTCGGAGAGTGACTGCGTGGAGCTGGGGATGCTGTTGGCCTCGCACCCCAGCCTGACCACGCTGGAGCTGGGTGATGGGACCTTGGGTGACGGC